TCTTGTTTCAGTTCCTTGACGTCATGAGAGTTGAAGCCTCAGGAAAAGTTGGAATGAAGGACTGTTTCTACTGTCCCTTTGGTGAGTAGTGAATCAATCTCCAACATCAACTTCAGGGACAGGGCCATGTACCTTACAGTATCAAGAAGTGGAATAGAATCAAACACAAACCAGCAGCCTCTCTCCATCTCCAGGAATCACATGTTATTGCTTCCATGTTATCGCTTCCAGGAAGTAACAGAGAAATGTCCAGCAAGATTGGTGGGCATGCAGGGGGGGCAGCTGGCAAGGGCAGTCAGTGATGGCACTCCTCCTCCTCTGGGTGCTTTCACTAGTCATGGGACCTATTTGGAGAATCTGCCCAACTCCTCCTATGGAGACACTGGACCCTGCATTGCAATGGCTACATCAGATAAGAAGGCAGACATAGTGTGTCTGGGTCTGAGTTGGACACATAGTCCTTGAGATCCAACGATGAAGAGGGCATTCTCCGTCTCAAGGACAGTGACATCAAAGATCACCATCAGTGTTGTCTGGCTGGTACTGTGTCTTCATAGAGCTGCAGGTGGGATGAATGTCCCTGACGGCTGCTGGATCTTTGCCAAGACCTGGATGCCTTCTCAAGACTGAAATTGCAGTCTTCCTTGCAGGATTCTCTGAAGCCCCTTTGGGATCGATGAGAGGCTTGTGACTGGGCCTTGGTGTTAATGGCAGACAGGGGTTCTTTCTTGGGTTGACTGCTCTCTCAAATCTGAGCACTCTTAGTACCAAATGGTCTCTTGGCATCAAATAGCACTTGCGTCAAAGGTTAACAAGGCTTCTGCCTCAGTATTGGACAGTCTCTCAAAACTGAGTGGCCCTTGGTGTCATGGTTGACTGGGGCTCTGCTCAGTAGTGAACAGTGTATCAGGACCAAGGGCCATGGTGTCAATGGTTGATGGGGGCTCTCTTGGTGCTGAGCAGTCTCAGGGTTGATGGTTGACAAGGTCCTCTGTCTCAATAATGGATGTTCTCATGGGTCCAAGCACTCTTCTGAGACCTACTGGGCCGTTGGTGTTGATGGGGACACTCCATCTATTGAATGTCAGGACTGAACCATCTTTATGGTCCATGTGCTCTCAGGACTGACCAGGTCCCTGCTATCAATGGTAGATGGGGCTCCCTCTTGGGATCGAGCCATCTTTCCGGTCTGAGCACTCTCTTAGCCCCTTGGTATCAATAGTAGATGGGGCTCTCATGGCATCTGCACTGCCACTTGGTGGCGGTGGCTACCTTTTCCCCACACTTGTGCACTTTCCTGGCCATGCAGTCAGACATTTGGAATATACAGCTTCCAGGGTCCTGGCCCTCAGTTGATTAGCCCTATGTTTCCATGCCTGCTTTATGAAGACCTGGTAATGCGGGTATGATTCAGTGATGTGGCCCTTGCCCAAACAGAAAGGCAGAGGGAGTGTCTGTCGAGGGGGGTGGGGTGCTCACACAATAGACACAGTGGACATCATTTCTAAAGGGTGCCTTTGATGCTATCACAGTAAAAAGAGAAGCCAGACAGCAGAGAATGAAGGAAGGACTGGTAGAAGGATGCAAAAGTTCAGAAAGAAAATGGGTAGGGAAGATTTGTTTCATCCCATCCCGTCCTGTCTACAAGTGAAGAGTGAAAACAAAGTTCATGGAGAGATGGTGGCTGAGTAGGGGGCCAAGGAGCAGAAAGTGGTAGAGGGGAAAGGGCAATAAACACTGAAAATTATTTACGTTGAGGAGAGAAGGACTTCCCAATCTAGGCATGGAAGTGGTTGAAAAGGAACTGAGGGAATGGGCAGAGCCCCTCCCATGGATGCAGGGAACAGGAAGGGGGAAGACTCCTGTCCAAACTAATGCTTAGCTGTAGAAACTTCCCAACAACAGGCTTCATGAAGGCACATAGCCCATGTGTGTGAAGAGTACACCAAGAATGCTGCATCCAATAATGAGGTGGATGGCACACCAGGAAAGACAAGAATGTTGAATCCATCCCTGACCATGCAGACATCCCTGGAAGTGGCCGGGAGTGTAAATCAGTATTTTTAAATAACATGTTAGGGCCTGTGCTAACATGTTGGTCGGAGTGGTGGTTAAGCACAAACCCATGAGTGGTGTTAAACGGCTGAATGGCCCATACCACAACAAGTGCTTGAAGAAGTGGAAGTGTGGACAACAATGGAAGTGACATTTTTCCCCACCAAAGATTCTTGGCTTGGTCGTATTGTGGTTTGTTGCAATTGCACTGAGAAGAGCCAGAACAAGCCCTGGCCAAACAGAGACCAATAAAGCATAACCAATGATGCATGTTGCTACCAATCAATGTAGGCCTTAAGATTTGTCAATAATCTTCCTGATATATCTTGTGTGCAGTACATCCCAATGGTATTTGTATCAAGCTGGTAGGTGCAAACTCAAATGCCCATCCCAATTCAAAAATAGCAAACAGAATCATTATCTAGGAAGCTCATATACAACAAAGTTTTACACACTCCACCTCAAGAAGCAGCATCCTAAGAATATGGCATTTGGAGATCCTCACAAATCAGGAGATCTGTGATTCTGGCAATAAAAAACATTCACTAAGTATCAGTCAGCCTATGAGTTGTTACCAAGACCAGCAATACCTCATTAATCTCAGGTTCTGCTGCATATGTGATTGGTACTGGATCCTGTACAGGGTTCACAGTGGAAGCAAGCTGGATTTGACATAGTATTGGTGATTTGAGCACTGGTGGAGAAGCCAGTATGGTGCATGGTACAGTGGCTACCAAAAAAAGCACCTGCGACATTGGGCTATAGCTGGCCCGATCACTGCCTTTCTAGACTCCTGTGCACTAGCCATTTGCAATATTCTTTGGTACCATAAGCTTCAATGACTTGCCAAGTACAGGTGAGTCTGTATTGCTTGAATTCAGGGTTCATGAAGGTTCATGAAGAAAGCAGTATCCCAAACTCCCAAAGGGCAAGACAAGTGAAAAAGGGGTTTAGCCACCCAAGAAGGGTTTTTTCCCTTCAATCCAAGGGAAGAAGAAAAATGTTTCTCATCCCTACATTCCACTGGCAATGCTTTGCCAAGAAAATCTTTGAGCAGTGAAATATTACCTTACTTTTCTGCAGGAAGGATGAGTTCCTGTCCGTCTTTGTGCCTTTTCCTTGGCATGAAGCCAATCTATATGCAGCCATCTGATATAGAAAGCAGGGAGGACTGGCCAGGGGTTGCCAAGCACCTTCCGCCTTGCTCTTGTACAAGTCAGGGAAGCACTTGTATGACAGTATCCATTCATTGTCTGTAAGACCTTAGGGTGGCATTTGCTGTACCAGAAGTCTTTCAGAGCTTCTTTTCCCTAAAGAAGTGCTAGACTCACCTGCCATCTAGGGGAGAGTATCAAACAGTTCTGCAGCCACAGTTGCACTTTACATCATCATCTTCTCTCTCCACACTCCCTTTTTAAGCAAAAGCAAAGATCCCCTAACCAAGAAAGACAGGTGATTGCTACAGCTTGCTTTCCCATGAAGGTGACAGAAAGATGTCACAGGAATGGCACCTCACATTCTAAATTCCAAAACCGCTGTGTCTGCTTTCCTGGCCCTGTAGGCAGAGCCTATTCCAAAGGTGGCAGCCCTCTTCCAATTATTCAGAAGCTCTACAACAAAGGTTAAATGAAAGTGTTGGGTTTTTTAAATTCTGTCAGCTCAGTTTTGCAGGTGGCATTTAAATGTTTGTTGTCTTTCTAAGAAGTCTTAATGTTTAATTGATACCAAGTGTGTTAAAAACCATTAAGAAGAAAATAACTGCTTTTAAAATAATGTAAAATACATTACTTAAGCTTTGCAATATTCTTCTCTTTTAGAGTTACCAATAGATATGAATTCCAGCCAAACATCATATCACAGACACACGCTGTTTTGCACAGTAATTACACTCTTTGCTTCCAAAATATTCTGGAAGTTGCAGCATATTTATTACAGCATATTTACTGAAACATAAGTTCTGGCAGGACTTGTTTCCAAATAAGGGTGAACAGGACAGAAGTCTTAACCCACAACCGCCATCTTGCTTGGCATTCTGACTTTATTTGACAAATTTATATCACACTCTTCAGCCAAAACAGCTCCAAAAGTGACTTATATGACATCAAATGAAATAATACAGCCCTTGTACTTGCCCCTTTTTTCAGGGTTGCTTTCCAAATTCCCAGTGTCAAAAGGATACAGAGTTGCAGCATGGAAGTATCCAGTATGAGCAACATAGAAATATCAAGGCCATATATAACTCAGTCCCCTATGGACATACAGTCCATCTGCAGAGGATTACGAAACCTAAAGGATTCAATTGCATTCTGTTCCACACACCACCCCTGTATATACATGTACAGGAATGCAAGTATCATAAAGGCAGGATGGAAAAGCATCAGTGCTCATGTTGCAACCCCGTATCATACTATTATTTCATAAACGATATAAAATGATTGTATGTATGTGTGTGTGTGTGTGTGTGTGTGTGTGTGTGCATGCACGCGCACACACTTCAGATAAATCAGCATGGACCAGTATTTTTAGATAAATTTGAGCTACAGGTTTAATGAGGTACTTTTCAAATGTGATTATCTATTAAAATATAGAAACATGGAAACAGAGTAAGTCAGAAGGGGCCTCCTGGGCCATCTAGTCTGGCCCCCCAGCTTCAGCTGGCTCTGTTCACGATTTGCCCACCATATGCATGTCTAGCCTATCCTTGAAACATTATACCCTCCTCTTTAAATTATGCATTTTCTTCAGATTAAAGGCACAACTGATATTAGAATAAAGTTAGCACAGGTTTTTCTTGGAGGTTATCCTTACAAAAAAGTTCATCTGTGTTTCTTAACTAGTATATTGTACTTTTTAACAAAGTAACTACATAAAAGTTTCCCTTATCACTATTCACATACATATGAGTAATATGAATCACTGAAATCATCTATCTGGCTGTTACTTACTTTCTTTTCCTTTCTCTTTGTTTTTAAGCTGCTGTAGTTTCTGTTCTCTGTGCTGTTTCTCTAACTCTTGCTCCTGCCGATGCTGTTCTAACTTTCTCTGGTGTTCCAAGAGCTCTTGCTGATGCTTCATTGCCAGAATCTCCTGTTGCTGCTATTAAGCCAGGAAAAAGATGGGAAAATTAAATGCACACAATCTTCAACTCTACCTTCAATGGCCATCTCCTAAGTATATCAGAATAAAACTAGAACAGACCATTACAGTTCCTAATAGAGAGAGAGGAGAAGAGATGCAGCATAAGATACAAGTTTTATGATTCTGCATTAGATGCATTTTTAAGTATGCTGTACAAATATTTTTATAATACAATAAAATTTAAATAATCAGAAGTACTTAAGACTACACAATAGCATGATTGTACATCTATTTATATCAACAGATATAAGCTGTTTCTTGATTGCATTAAATTAGATGGAAAATATTCCTATTTATTTCTTATATTTATACTCCACCTTTTTCTCTTCCAAGGAAATCAAGGCAACATACATAATTCCCCTCCTCTCAATCTTATCCTCACAATAACCACCCTGCGAAGTAGGTTAGCCTGAGAGTCTGGGACTGGCCTGAAGTCACCCAGTGAGCTCCATGGGGGAGTGAGAACTAGAACCCAGATATCCTGAGTCCTAGTTGCACTTAAGGACTTCAATTCAACTGTGCCATTTTTTTCTCTGCGTTACATGCTCTTGAAGCACATAGAGGCCTACATATGTTACAACTAAAAACTCCCTAGACCAAATCAGGGATACCCTAAGCCCTAACTCCTTTCCATCAGGCTTTCAGATTAAAGGGATGAAGGGCTTCCTCTGGATTCCTCTAGCCAGCATGAAAACTTTTCTGCTTCTTTGCTTTTTAAGAGTCACTCCAGAATGGTTTTTTAAGTTCCAAATGTGTGGAACATTCAGGGTAGTCTGATATTTTGCAGCGCTGTGACTCATTGCCGAAGTTCATTCCTCAGGTATATAACACAGTAATAAGCTAAGTTTCTGTGTGCGTTTGCAGAATGCCTCTTTCTCACCATTTAATCTTCATACATCTCTGATCAGAAGTAAATGGTTCCAACAGCAGACTGTGATTCTTAAGTAACCTTGATCCACGCAACAGTTATTTTAGAAATTGAATGGCTAATGCTCTCAACTTTGGAATACCCTACTGCTAAGTTTCAGATTTGTTCAATTTCACAAGCAGCACAACATGCACTACCGAAGCCATATTCTACCATAACCTCCTCATGGTGCTCAGATGTGGTGTGCTGAAAGAAGAATTAAACCAATCATGAACATCTGACTATCTTGGAGAAAGTTTCTGACAAATGGAACAGGCTGCAGGTTTGGGGAGACGTGCTTCAGCAGCCATAACTGCCAAAGACTAAGAAGACTTCTCAAAGCTATCAGCCCAAGAGTTCACAAGAAGGTTTTAACTATAGACAGTGCTTTTTTTGTAAAAAAAAAAAAAAAAAGGTGCCAGAGGTGCCTCTTGGAGTCAGTCACTCTACACACACATAAACATAATGGTCGCCACCGGCAGTAAGCACCGAGCGTGCGACCACAGGACTGATCCTAAGCTGAGCAGCGTCCAGAGCCAAACAGCGCCCTCCCGAGCAGCGCCGACACACATGCAGCCCGCAGGCACTATTTTAATGCTTTTTGCTGCCGACCTGCTACGCCCGACAGGGCAATTCACAATCACATGGAAAAATCCGTTAAAAAAAGGTGCTGGAATGCCATTCCAATGTGTTCTATGACAAAAAAAGCCCTGACAATAGATAATAAAAAACTACTATCACAAACGTGAGCTGAAGGGGTCATGGGCCAGAAGGATTCTGGATCTGCCAGTGTTCCAATTTGCAGCATATAGGAAATAATCAATTATAGTTTTTATTTTATTTTAAGCACAGACACACACACACAAAGATCAAATGATCTAACTAGGGAAGAGATACCATGGCAAATAAACACACAAATATACACATATTCATATATACATACAATGTTTCTGTTCTGCCAAAAGACCAACTACAACTGCATAAACACTGTTTAACACAAATCAGTAACTGCTTACAGGTTCTGTTCTAAGAATAAAGCAACCTTCATCTGCTACTCAAATTTAATTTGCAGAGCTCACCTTTATGTGTTCATGTAACTGCGCTTCATGCTGACGGGAGAGCTGTTCATGTTGTCTCTGGAATTCTGCTATGAGGATCTGTCTCTGAATTTGCTGTTTTTGTTTGAGAGCGAGCAGTTCCTGCTGGAGCTGTTGTTCACGTAATGTAGGCTCAGCTACTGGCATGGAGAACTGATGGTCCAAGCGAAGATCCATAGGAACTACTGATGGTGCAGCTTGCAAGGGTAGTGTTGTGGTCACATCAACTACAAAACACAAAGAGAAGAGTCAGCTCTTTGTCAATTATTAGTGACTAAGCTTAAACAAGGATGTTTTCCCTTATAAAAAGATATTCAAGGATTTGGGGGTGTCATTTCACTGCATGCCACATGGAATTCTTCAGAATTCTACTTTTTCCTCAAAAGCAAGATGACAAGATAATAAGGTTTATTTTCACAAACTGAACATGGTCTCACAGCAGAACATTCTTAAAATATGGCATACCTTCTCATTCCTCATTTCAGAATGTATAATTCTTATATTAAGTGGTATGTCAGAATAATTGAATAAAATTACTTTTCAAACAGAAGAATGAATTAAGTGTAATATTAACAACATCGGTACCATTTTCTGGCACAGTGATTTCTGAAAATTCCATGATCAAGAATAAGGGTGCAGGAATAATGATTCAGTTGGTAGAAGAACCAACTAAGGGATAAAGGTTGGAGAGGTGGGAGCTTGCCTGCATACTCTTCTAGCAGCCTCTGTTGAAGATGCCAAAGACTGCTGTGAGCTGCTTTGAGACATGGGTTCCCCAAGCAGGCCAAAAGGGCTGTAGTCTGGTGAGGTGCAACACAGAACTATTAGGGATAACTAGGGCCTCAAAAGACAAGAATAAAATTACTTTGATTAAATGGAAAGCCAGGTCAAAGAAATGCTATGTACTGCATATAGGCAAATATACATAAACACTCACTAGTACAGGATAAGGGATATCAGCAGTCAGTCAGAAGCTGTAGCAGAATTTTTGGGACTCACTATAAACTTGTAACATAGACCCTCTGCCAACAGATGTACCACAATCTAATTCTATGCATGTAGTCATAAGAATCAAAAGTTCAGACTGAATTCTAAAATTACATTTTCTACATATTGGTAATTACACTATGGCCCATACTGGAGTGTTTCAACCAAGCTCAAGGTCTTCCCCTTTTATTATTTGTGTTTAACAGGACATCCAGCCTGAAGAAGTGTCTTATAAAAATGCTGACTATGTTGTAACTTTTTGGTTGGTCCCAATAAAGAAATTATCCTGCTTTTTTCTTGTTATACATCAATACAACTTTTAAAAGACCAAACAGCTTTAAAGCTGTGTTTTTCTGGTCTTCTATTTTTCCAAAACCATTATTTATCTCCCCAAAGTACATCCACTTTCCATCTACTTTATGCAAGACAGTGGATGTCTTGAACTGTTGTGTGACTAGGATGGATAAGAACCAATGAACTGAGAGACACAGTTTAAGACAGAGCTACCATTAGTTGGTACTTATTTCAACTGCCCAGTTGCGATATTCAGTCTATTCTGGAAGAGGCTATATTCCCCTGAAGGATTTGGGTTCCCAGTCCAGCAGTGTTTCTAGACCCATTATTTGCACCTGTGACTCAGTGGCTAGGCAAAGCTTTTATCATCTTAGGTAGATATACAAGCCACGACCCTATCAGAACAGAGATAGCTTAGCAACCGTTATCCATTCTCATATAACACCCTGATTGAATTACCACATGTACATGGTGCTACCTTTGAAAACACTTAAGAAATGTCTGTTAGTTGAAACTAGGCCTCCTAACTGGGACTGGTTAATATGGTCATAGTTAGCAGCACTGCCTTCCTGGACTATTTCCCGATCCAGTTCAAAGTACTGGTGTTGACCTTTCAAAGCCTTAAATGGCTTAGGGTCACAATAACTAAAGCAAAGTATTTTCTAGATGTTTTGGACTACAACTTTCACAGTGCCTTATCAGACACTTACCAATAAAGGGGGATTTATTTCAGAAGGGCTAAGAAGTTATCAACACAGCTTTTCTGCAGAAGTTTTAACTAACCCTAATACTCTGATACAGCACTCTCCTTTCAGCTGGGTTTGAAAGTATATCTCCCACTTTTGGGTGCAATCCTCTGTCCTGACTGTTCTCAGTCCCCTCCCCCTTTTTCAAATATATACAACCACAAAAACTACACCACCATCACCATGAACAAAAACCTCTCTTCTGACAGGTGTCAAAATAAAGGACTCAAAGTGTATGGGATGGAGTTCTCCCCTTTCTAGGTTTGGAAAAATGTGGAAAAAGTGGGAAGGGCTGAGAACAGTCAGGGTAACACTGAATATGTGGAGGATCACATTCAAGAGTATGAGATATACTTGCCACTCCCTTTCAGGAAAATAACTCTGCTGATTTGCTTCTTACTTGACATCTTAAAGCAACCTATAAGCAGCCACAATGTGAATGGATATTGCCTACTTGCACTTTGACAGCAAATACTTTGCAGGACAATGACTAAGCAAGACTCCACATTTTGGATAGTCATAATTGCACACCTGGGCAAGACCAGGATGATATTGTACAGCTTCTTGCCTCCTCTGCCCGCAGCAAAAACAGAAGGATAAAGAGCCAGCAATAGTTGCTCTAAAGTGTTGCTTGGCCATTGGTGGAGCAGGTGTTAGTGGTGGAGTGGCTGTCACTGATGGCAGCACAGGGTTCTGGAAAGGGATGCAAATCAAAAACAAAAATTGCAATTGGAGGAGGAAGGAAGAAGAAAGATGGGTAATATAGGACCCTGGAATTCAGTCTAGATGATCAACTGTGGGGGAAAGAGGGGAAGAACATCCAACAATAAGTCCAATTATGTGTCCAGTGAAGCATGGGTTGTTCCATAAACAATTCCCATGGCACACTTTATTTGCATGGTGGATTGCTGTATCTTATAAACTCACCCAGTATTGTCAACACTGACTGGCAGCAGCCCTCCAGGAATTTTTCCAGCCCTAACTGCAGATGTCAGCAAATGAACCTGGGATCTTCTGCATGCAAAACATGTGTGCTACCACTGACACACAGCCTCTCTACCAACTGTTTTAGTGGAAGGAGGATTGGTTTGGCCTATAAATGTAAATAAATACAAATAGCAAGTTCCATTCATGGTGCTTTCCAAAAAAACAGTGACATGCCTTCCAGAATAGTAAAATGAAAATTATATTCCCAAGAACATCCTGCAATTAATTTTACAATGACATTAGTTCACCATCAATCATTAAAACCCCAAAGTCCCTACTGAGGCTAATGAAAATGTATTTTATACATTGCACTACATCACACATGTAGGCATACCTCAGAGATATTGCAGGTTCAGTTCCAGACTGCCACAATAAAGTAAGTCATGCAGGTATTTTGGTTTCCCAGTGTATACAAAAGTTATGTTTACACTATTGTGTAGTCTATTAGGCATTCAATAACATTATTTCTTTTAAAAATGTACACCCCTTAATTAAAAACACTTTAATGCTAAACACCATTTCAGCCTTCAGCAAGTCGTAATCTTGTTGCTGGTAGAGGGTCTTGCCTCAATGTGGATGGCTGCTGACCAATCAAGGTCTGCTGAAGGCTGGGCTGGCTGAGGAAATTTTTTAAAATAAGGCAACAACAAAGTTTGCCATATCAAAGTTTTCTCTATCAAAGTTTGAAGAGAAATCTTTATGAAAGATTTCTCTGTAGCATGTGATGCTGTATGATAGCATTCTACCCAAGTAGAACTTCTTTCAGAATAAGAGTCATTCTTCAATCGAATTTTGCTGCGGCGGTCAAGAGGGTGAACGCCAACCTTGGTTGCATAGCCGGAAACGTGGCTTCTAGATCGAGAGAGGTATTACTACCACTCTATACGACTCTGGTGTGCCCACATCTAGAGTATTGTGTTCAGTTCTGGGCTCCACATTACAGGAAGGCTATAGCCAGGTTAGAGTCAGTGCAGTGCAGGGCCACAAGGATGGTGGCCGGATTGCAGGGAAAGCCATATGAGGCGAGACTGAGGGAACTGGGTCTTTTCAGCCTGGAGAAGAGGAGACTCTGAGGGAATCTGTTGGCAACGTATAGGTACATGAGGGGGTGTCACACGGAGGTTGATAAGAGACCTGTTCTCCCCTGCAGAGGAGGGCAGGACATGCTACAACGGAGCAAAGCTCAGGGAACCAAGGTTCAATTTGGATGCCAGAAAGTATTTCCTGGCAGTTAGGACCCCGAGTGTATGCAATGGGCTCCATGGGAGGTGGTTGAGGCCCCATCGGTGAGGGTGTTTAAGGATAGGTTAGACATGCACATGATAGGCGTGTCGTGAGTGGAGCTGGCTAGAGCTGGGGCTCAGACTAGATGGCCCGGAAGGCCTCTTCTGACTCACTCTATGTTTCAATGTTTCTCAAACCCCGCCACTGCTTTATCAACTAAACTTATCTAATATTCTAAATTCTTTGTTGTCATCTCAACAACCTTCACAGTATCTTCACCTGGAAATTCCATCTCAAGAAACTACTTTCTTTGCTCATTCATTAGCAACTCCTCATTTGTTAAAATCTTATCATGAGATTGAAGCAATCCGGTCACATCTTCATTCTCTAATTCTAGTTCTCTTGCTATTTTACCACATTTGCAGTTACTCCCTCTACTGAAGTCTTCAACCCCTCAAAGTCATCCATAAGGGTTGGAATCAACTTCTTCCAAACTTTTGTTAGGGTTAATATCTTGACCTCTTCCCATGAATCACACATGTTCTTAATGGCATCTAGAAAGGTAAATTTGTTCCAGAAGGGGATTTACTTCGCCTAGATCCATCAAAGGAATCACTATCTATGGCAACTTACAAAATCTATTTCTTAATAAGATTTGAAAGTCAAAATTACTCCTTGATCCATGGGCTGTAGAATGGATGTTGTGCTAGCAGGCATGAGAACAGCATTAACCTCATTGTACATCTCCATCAAAGCTCATAAGTGACCAAGTGCATTGTCAATGAGCAGCAATATTTTGAAAGGAATCTTTTTTTCTGAGCAGTAGGTTTCAACAGTGGGATTAAAATATTTAGTAAACCATGTTGTAAACATATGTGCTGTCATCCAGGTTTTGTTGTTCTATTTTTGTTACAGGCAGAGTACATTTAGCATAATTCTTAAGGGTTCTAGGATTTCCATTGAGCATTGGCTTCAACTTAAAGTCACCA